CCCCCGCCTCCTCCCCCGCCTCCGCCTCCACCACCACCACCTCGCCCACCTCCTTCAACTTTTGTCACCCAACCCACTCTGCCGGCCCCCACCGTCTACTCATGGTGTCCGTTCACGTGTAAGGACCATTGCTCGGCATCATGCCCCCAGGTCTGTTGCCGTATTCGTATATTGGCAAAAAAGTCTACAAGTCCTTGTCACCCCACCTGTTCAGTGTACTGCCATCCACATTGCGAGCGACGGTGCTGCAGGCCCCCACCCCGACCAAACGCGGTCAATCCAGTTTCCTGTCCTTATTCCTGCCGAGTCCATTGCACGTACGACTGCCCTTGGCATTGCTGTTTTACTCGCAGAACATCGATTCCACAAAGACCTGGATTCAAACAGCGAGTACCTGGCTCTCCAAGAAGAACAGCGCAAAATATCAGAGCACCTTTCCAGAAGCCTATGCCCCAAAACCTTGGACTGCCACAAGGAAGAATCTTACAAAATGTCAGACCAACCTTGCAAAAACTTGCGACAAATTTGCCCCAAAATCGAAGACTAACTCAACCATCAAATCAAAGACAATCAGCCGCTTCCCAATATCCTTCAAAATTAGTTATTATTCCAAACGTTCAAGCAAATGCCAAATTAGGCATAAAGAAACAAACTAGACCAAATATTAGACAATTGCCAGCAACCCCATGTCTTCCAACATGCAGAACACGTTGTACCACACAGTGCCCACCTTATTGCTGTAACCTGCCTTATAGGAAGAGCGCAATACCAAAAATCCCCCGTGGTAGACCCATTACAACACTGCCTTACAGAAGAAACATCATACCGAACACTAATCCTGTTAGACCACGTGTAACATTACCGCAACCTAAAACTACACAAACCTGCCCAGCAGTGTGTCAGTTTGCTTGCAAAGCGGAGTGCCCGTTTTACTGTTGTAGGCATCGAACTACGTACTCCACGGGAAATAACCCTCGGAGTTATATACCCACGAGGGTGCACACTCCCGGAAGAAAGTCCTCCAGGTGTCCGGATGCATGTAAAGCAAAGTGCAGAACGTTTTGTCCTTGGCAATGCTGCCTGATACCGTATAGGCGTTCTTATATGAAGCCGTGACATGAAAGAATTTTACAATAGAGATTTACAATTAAAAATGTCGTTTTCAATAAAGTAATTTTTAAAAGATCGGTTTTGAACGGGTCAGCAGAGGCGAGCACAGTAGCACTTTCCTCGCGACAGTAATGTCGTACGTCTGTATCTTTGCATTACGTCACAAATATGTCAAAACATCGAGTGAAGGAATGGCATGGTGAACAGAAGGATTCACAAAATAATGAAAAATTCTGCTAACTGGAACTAGTGGTGCCGCAAGATTTTACTTTGGGGGGCGGGGACTTATTCATTTATGACGTCACTATTCTAGAGGGTCCGAGAGCATGCTCCCCCAGAAAAAGAATGGAATATTTGGTCCCTGAAAAGGCGTTACCTGCATTGTGGAGGCACTAGGAGAACTATGTAAATGTCTTAAAAAATCACTTCTTAATAGTGTGAACCCAATGCGCTGAACAGACAAATTTGACTAGCGTTTGTTTATGTCCAATTCACAACTTTAAATAGATAACTCACATGCCTAGTTACTATTGTTCTACACACGTAAAAACGCACAAGTTGTTACAAGTCTGCAAACAAGTTGTTACAAATCTGTTCACAATCTGTCGACAAGTTGTCTTCGCACTGCTTGTTCCCAGTTGTTGTAACAAGTTTGGAAGAAGCTGTTAACAACTTGTAACAAGTTTGATGGCATTATCAGACTTGTCACAAGATTGTTCTAACAAGTCTGATACAGTCATGATAAACAAGAATGCTACAAGGTTGACGACACAAGGTTGTAACAATACTGCTATAGCATGACGATATCGGACTTGTTGGAACAACCTTGTAACACGTCTGATAATATCAACAAGGTTGTTACAAGGTTGAAGACACAAGGTTGTAACAGTATGTATTGTTATATCATGACTGTTTAGACTGTATCAGACTTGTTGGAACAACCTTTCAACAAGTCTGATAATATCAACAAGGTTGTTTCAAATTGTTAACAGCTTGTTCCAAACTTGTTGACAACTTGTGACAAGCAGTGCGAAAACAACTTGTTGACGGCTTGTTGACAAACGTGTCACAAGATGTGAGATTTTTGCGAAGCATAGAATAGAACAAAGGTAACTAAGCTTTAAAATTAACTAATTAGTGAATAACTCTTATACATAACTCTAATATGCTTAGTTACCTTTGTTTCTATTCTATCCTTCTGTAAACTAGAACAATAGTAACTAGGCACGTGAGTTACTCAAAGTTCTGAATTGGGTAGCATCGATATAAACAATGTTAGTTAAATTTGTCTGTTCACCGAGATTGAACCAATCTAAAACTACATTCTGAAAACATTTTGGTGGGGGGAGGGGGAGCCGACCCCCGACCCCATCTCTAACTGCCTGGATGGTGACTGGATGATACTAGCTATCTGGATTATTATGCTGCGTGTTTTTCTCTCAACATCAATAGTGCTATTAATATAATGCAGAACAGATACGCAATTCACCACTTGGTCATGCAACTTTTATTAGTTAACTTTACGCATACAAATTACTTTAATTTATTATTTACATTAAATATATTACATATCAAGTTACTATAGTTAAATGTTTAAATAATCAGTTAAATTTTATACAAATTTTACGTTTACGCATATTTTAAATTTAAGTTACAAGACTTAGAACAAGTTGTATTTAAAAAATCCTTTTAAACGAATTTACATTTTATTACATGTGAATCATGCGTTTACATTTTAAGTTCAATTTTTGGTTAGTTTTATATGCATTACAGTCTAAAACTGTTATAAAAAACAATGAATATACATGAAATTATTTACAGCAAATAAAATGAAAAACACCCGAAAAGGCCTTAGGCTAGCATTTAAAAAGTTACGGCCTATAAAAATGTAACCAACTATAAGTGTTGTGATTTGGTCATAATGTGTATTAAATCTCGATTAAATTTTTAGTATTTTATGTGAAAAAAAACCTCTGACCCTACAGACGCAATTACTGACGTAAATATAGAGAGGTCAAACTTTTCCCACTAAGATAATTACACTATAATTACACTATACAAAGAGCGATGCTTACGTGAAAGCTGATCAGTTTGCACCGCCAATACTAGGGACATCATTGTCTTTGGACACATCTTTATCACCTGGAAATAAAGAAGAAACGATGATGGCATAGCAAACGGTTATGGGTTGAAAATTTCAGGTAATCGTTCCATGTTTCGTGCACCAATATAGTAAACGTTATGTAATGGATATTATAGTGTACTGAAGAGTTAACTGGATACCTCCATACACATATATACACACCCTAACCCTAACCCTAACCTTAAACCTAACCCCTAACCTATATTGGTGCGCGAATCATGGCACGATAACCAAATTTCAGAACTGAATAATTTCTGAGGTCGTATAACGGACGGTCCCAAACATGTCAAGGTGCTTAATGTTATTAACTGTAAAAAGCTTGCTTTATACGCCTTCAAAGTTTCTGTGATCACAGTAGGAATTTTGCACAGCTGAATTCTATACGTTTTGAAGGATTTGTAAGAAATGTTTGAAGGAACTGACTTATACGTTTTAACACTGTGTCAGTTTCCTCAAACATCTCTTCAAATACTCATTAATAATTTATGAAGAAAATTCAAAAGAAATGAATGTTTAATCAATGTTTGTAAATCGGATAAAGATTTGCCCTGATTTACATAAACTTCAGCTTTGATTTTCTCGGCTTAGACGATGTTTATTCTATGCTTCGCATCCGATCTTTATCTGATATACAAACTCTCGCCTTTGGCTCGAGATCGGCTGCTCATGTTTTAACTAGTACTTGCAAATTCTTCAAAACGTAGAATTTAGCTATGCAAAATCCTACTGTGATCACAGAAACTTTGATAGTCTAAGCCAGTCTTAATAGGTTTATCTCAACAATCAATTGATTTACGAAGACAGGAAAGAACCAGGGGCCGGTTGTAGGATAACGATAAACACCTTAACAAAATAATAAGATGAAACAATTCTTTTTATTAAAATACTTATTTGTGTAAATAGCGTTACGAAAAATGTTCTCTCTCTCAAATCTAAACTTTCAGAAATTCGCACCGAGTTATTGTTGGTACTGAACTGACCATTTGCGTAATAGACTAAATTTTTATCTCAACAAATATTTCATCACAGCTTTGAAAGAGCATCACAAAATTAGTAATATTCCAAAGTTTCGTTGCGAAATGTTGTAAAATGCGGATAATATAGCTTTGCGAAGTTTGCAATTTTCATTCATTTTAGATTACAAACGGGAAATTGACAGCCCCATGCCAAAGGGTATTTCAGCTGTTGAGAAAGATCATATGTTACGACCATATGGAAACCAGGCTGTAAAGTGCTCCTATTACTCAAATATGATTTTTGGCCTACGAAATATTTGGATTATTCTGGGAAGAAATGTACTATATCTTTATAGTAAAAAACTCGTCTTGATTGACTTTTTCGCTCTCGAAGCTGCCGGATATGATATAATTTGGGGAAATTTAGGTGCCGAAAACAAGAGAAAGTAATTTGCAATTCCCCAAATGACGTCATATCCGGAACTTTGAGAGTGAAAAAGCCTATTAAGATGAACTTTTTTACTATAAAGATATCTTACATTTCTTCTTAAAATCACCCAACTATTACACATACCAAAAATCATATTTGGTGTTACTCGCACTTTAATGGTAACGGTAGCGGTAGCCTACCTTCTAATTTCATTTCTTCCAGCTTAATCTGATCCTCCATCTCTTTATTGAGTTCTTCAAATTGTTTCCACGTGACATCTTGTTCCAGCTCTGCCTTCTTCTCAAGCTCCTTAATCTCTTTCATTTTCTTAAGTTGCAGCAACATTTGTACCTGTTGCATTTCTTTAACCTGTGAAGGTTTCATATCCTTTGCTTTCTCAAGCAACTCTTTTCCGACCTTGCTGAGCTAAAAAAATGTAATACAGACATGAATAGACTTAGAGGGCACTATAGCAGTTTAGTATAATTTCAGTATTGAAAAATGGCTTTAAAGCGTTCGGATTGGCTCCCTCAGCAGTAACTCTGAGGCAATAGTCACCGCTCAGAAGTTACTGAGGCAATAGTCGTTACTGCTCAGAAGTTACTGAGGCAATGGTTACTGTTCAGAAGTTACTGAGGCAATAGTTACTGCTCAGAAGTTACTGAGGCAATAGTTACTGTTCAGAAGTTACTGAGGCAATAATTACTGCTCAGAAGTTACTGAGGCAATAGTTACTGTTCAGAAGTTACTGAGGCAATAGTTACTGTTCAGAAGTTACTGAGGCAATAGTTACTGTCCAGAAGTTACTGAGGCAATAGTTACTGTTCAGAAGTTACTGAGGCAATAGTTACTGTTCAGAAGTTACTGAGGCAATAGTTACTGCTCAGAAATTACTGAGGCAATAGTTACTGTTCAGAAGTTACTGAGGCAATAGTTACTGTTCAGAAGTTACTGAGGCAATAGTTACTGCTCAGAAGTTACTGAGGCAATAGTTACTGCTCAGAAATTACTGAGGCAATAGTTACTGTTCAGAATTAGTTACTGAGGCAATAGTTACTGTTCAGAAGTTACTGAGGCAATAGTTACTGTTCAGAAGTTACTGAGGCAATAGTTACTGCTCAGAAGTTACTGAGGCAATAGTTACTGTTCAGAAGTTACTGAGGCAATAGTTACTGTTCAGAATTAGTTACTGAGGCAATAGTTACTGTTCAGAAGTTACTGAGGCAATAGTTACTGTTCAGAAGTTACTGAGGCAATAGTTACTGCTCAGAGTGCTCTGAGGCAATAATTATTACTTTAAAAACAAAATGGTTGCCGAAAATCCGCACTTGGAAACAAATCATCGAAAAAAAATTGAAGAAATTAAAGGCACATACTATTCCTCGAAAATGAAAATTACTATTCCTTCAAATTTGTCGACATCTAATAAAATATTTGACTTTACAGTGTCATGATTTCGTTGCACGATATTCCAAGATCTTGAAGTGTTTACAGACGTCA